TATATATATATATATATATATATGTCAAATGGAAAAGTCCAAGTATATTATAGTTGGCCCTAAACTCTCTTTTATAATATAGTAGAATAGAAAATAAACATTACATAAATTCAACAACTTTAATCTATTGATTTTTCCTATGGACTATTTCCGATTTCTCCCTCAAGGTTGAATATCGGAAATTATCTCCTTAACATCACCGAAAGGTGCAGCTACGTCTTCATTTATGTCATCGGTTAATAGTGAAAAGGAATGTATGTCTATGATACTCACATGATTACTTTGCATAAGCTCCATTTTTTAAATGTTACGAAAGTTAGAAATATCTTAGATTTTTTTAAATGTTCTTCCATTCCGGTATTTTAAAATAATTATTGAAGGATCTTCGTTATTTTAAACATGATGATGAAAGTATATACTTTTTTGTCGTAGTTACGGTCTCGAAAATAAAAAAAAATCTCTTTGATCATATATATATTTTTAAAGGCTTTCTAATTTTTTTGAATTGTTAACTAGAGTTGTAGTATTTTTTTTTATATAGTTTCTGAATATACTTACAGATTGGAATAATATATTAATATTTCTACTGCAATAATAAAAATTAAGGAGAGAAAACAAAACCTACAATATTGCAAACATGAGGAATTATTAATTGTATACATAATTGATGTTAAAAAAATGGCAAAATTTTGGGGGAGGACCAAAAGTGCACCAATATTGCAAATATGAGGGATTATTAATACTCCATGTGAAAACATAAGGATGACTTTTGGGTTTTAACCCAAAGATAAGGGATTATTTTAGGTTTTTTCTCTAAGAATTTATTTATAGAGTAATGAACATCCACACTAGCTAATTGTTTTATACTCTAACAGATGTGAACAAAAAAATCATTATTAAAATGGAGAAGGACCTAAAGTGCCCTTCGACTATTTGAATTGTTACAAAACTACTCTTCATCCACCTTTCGGCTCCAAACACCCCTGGCGTTAACCTTTTCGCTCAAAAATACCCTCGATATAAACTTTTAACTCATATTAACCCTTATTTTTAACAACTATCCTATAGTAAAATTATTAAATATTTGTTTATTATGTTGTCTAATTTGATTGGTCCAAATTTAAACCCTTCTAAAATAAATAATAAATAAACTACATATGATTCATATTTTGACTTGCTATGCTTGATAATAATATTTTAAAAAATGTAAATTTCATGATGTCTTCCTATTGCATATTTTAAATTAAAAAAACCCCAAGTTACTATAACTCAATTCATAATTTGGGATCTAATAAAATTCCTACTCGTCCCGTCTGATCGTCAATCTAAAAAAGATTATTATATTTAATTAATATAAAATTCGCTATCAATTATCCAATTATCTTATTCATTTCCTCTTTTTATTCTTTTTAAAAAAAATATTTTATTATTAATTAGGATATCGAGGATTAAAACTTGAAATGAACTTACATGATCATATTCTTTTAATTTATATTATCTGGTGGGTGGGGATAAGAAAAAAAGTTATTTTCATTCTTTTATTCTAAATTTTGGATACATACAAAAGAAAAATTATAGTATACATAGTTATTTAATTAAATCATCTTTTATTGAACTAATTATTTATAAAGGAATGTAGTCGTTATTTTTCTCTTTGTTCTCCCTTGTTTAATTTGTCATTAGTTGAAAAAAAAATTATAATAGTGGACAAGATCCGAGAAGAAAAAAAAAAGTGGAAGAGAGGGGAGGTGGGGAGGGGGGAGGTGAGTGTAGATAGTAGATGATTTATCTTTTTGCATTTTTAATTTATTATAGAAACCAAAATTAGGTCAACGAGACGAGCCCATATATTAAGTAACTTCAAATTATTTTAATAGAGAGGGGTCTAAATGGCCCTTAAACTATGCGATTTGGTATATATTTACGCTCCATCCACCTTATGAGTGAACTGTTAGAAATAAGGATAAGTTTTAGTCAAAAAGTTAACGTCAAGGGTATTTGAGGGCCAAAAGATGGATGGGGGAGAGTTTTGTACCAATTCAAATAGTTGAGGGACATTTTAGGCTCTTCTTTGTCATTAAAAATTAAAAAGTTTCATGTGAGCAGAAATTGATTTTAAAAAACATTTTATAATTGGTAAAAACAATGAAATAACCAAGTAAAGAAGAATAATTAAAATTTAAAATAATTTAAGTCTACACTTAATTGGAGTCGTCAATATGTCTAGGCACGATGAGCCAGGCCTAACCTATTGGGCTTGAGCTATATGGGTTGTGCCGGCTCGTGGGCTAATAAAAAATAAATTTAAAAATAGAGTATTAAAAATAACAAAAGTCCAAACTCAAAAACTATTTAACATTTGAAATCAAATATGATATACTAGTATTCCTATTACTACTATATCATCAGAATCATCGTTCAACATTGATGGCACCAAATATAGAAGTTGCATCCATCATGAAAATATTCAAACACGTATAGCTACTCGAAACTGGTGGCATGATTTATCAGTTAAGTTATTTTTTTGTGTACATTTAAATACTATAAGGTAGTTCATAAATTTAGTTATATTTTATTGTTAAACTAATATTGCATATAAACTATAGATGAAAATGAAGATGTCTTGTCAAAATTTATGTTAATATTTTTAAGTTATAATTTAATTTTAATAATTATAAAAAAAAACATACTTTTAAAATAAGTGAGTTGACCCAGCCCGCACCCCCACGTATTGGTTGGCTAGGCTGGCTATTTTCTAGCCCACAAAAAAAGTGGATCAACCCTGCCTGGCTCGTCAAATTTCAAAATATGTATGGGCTATCCAAATAGGACGGGCCAGCTCATATTGACAGATCTACGTTATTTTTCATTAGAATTCCAATAATATAATTGTTTGAATAGGAAGAAATTTTTCCTTTTCCTTTTCCTTTTCTTTGTAGGATTAGGAATTAGGACACTTTCCTTTCCTTTCCTTTTCCTTTTAGGATTCTACTTGTAAACTCCTTATATAAACCCCAACATAACCTTTTCTTCCATTTATTCATAATATCGATTCTTCTTTTTCTCCATCGTCATGACTTGCATGAAAGTTGGAGGAAACACTTTGCCTGTTACTCTGGACGAACAAGGCCAAGTCAGGTACGATTCGATTGCCAGACAAGCCGAAAACGCTAAGAAAATTGTATATTGTCACTACAATGATCTTGTTCCCAAGTTTGTTAAGGATCATGACGAAGACTTGGAATTCGATGTGGTACAAGAGAAGAAGAAACTAATTGAGGAGACTACTCGGGAGACCAAGGCTATCCTTCTTCAGAAGATTGGTACACAACAATCTTGGGACTCTATGGAGCCACCTAAGTTCATTAAGTACAACCCTTGTAAGCAGCAGGGTTCAAGACTTATTAAGATGGTTGAGAAGGCGGTGGACCCTATGGAGCCACCCAAGTTCAAGCACAAGAAGGTACCTAGGGCATCTGGTTCACCGCCAGTCCCCGTTATGCATTCTCCTCCTCGTCCTCTTACAGTGAAGGATCAACTGGATTGGAAGATTCCGCCTTGTATATCGAACTGGAAGAACCCTAAAGGCTACACAATCCCACTTGATAAGCGTCTTGCTGCTGATGGGAGCAGAGGAATTGAGGAGGTTAAGATCAATGATAATTTCCCAAAACTTGCTGAGGCTCTGTATGTTGCAACTGAGAAAGCTACGGAAGCAATTGCAATGCGGTCGAAGGTTCTCAGAGAGATTATTCTCAAAGAGAAGGAAAAGAAAGAGATGGAGCTTCAGGAGTTGGCACGCAAGGCAAGAGCTGAGATAGCTGCAGGTCTTAAGAATGATGTGGATGATTATGAGGGTCGATTACGGAGAGAGAAGATGAGCAAGGAGCGACGTCAGGAGAGGAGATTGATGGAGGCAAAAGAGGGTGCAGCAATGAAGAGGAGAAAGATCAAAACCAGAGATGGAGACCGTGATATCAGCGAAAAGGTGGCTCTTGGGATGGCTTCTACATCAAGAGGTTGTGGAGAGACCATGATGTATGACCAGAGATTGTTCAACCAGGATAAAGGGATGGATTCTGGATTTGCTGATGATGATGCCTACAACCTGTATGACAAAGCCCTATTTACTGCTAAATCTACTCTGTACAGACCAAAAAAAGACGTTGATTCTGATACGTACGGAGAGCAGCAACAGGAGAAGATCACTCACTCTAGGCCTGACAATGCATTTGCTGGAACTTCTGAGAGAACTGGTCCTAGAGATAGACCTGTGGAATTTGAGGCTGATCCATTTGGTTTGGACCAGTTTTGGACAGGTGTGAAGAACAATATGGCAAATGATGGTAATTGAGGCACCATGAAAGCAGTGACGCGAGATGGCTATGAAACAACATCTAGAAGAACTTGTATTGCTTTGGAGAAGGGCGTTGACAACATCCTGGTTGGCTTGCACAATGTAATTTGTTTCTTCTTCTTTTTCTTTGATGCATTTGAACAATTTTGATGCATTTGAACAATGTCATTTCTCGTTTACATGTCTATCAAATAATAAAACTTTCCACTAAAGCTGTCTCAAGCTTTACTCAATGTGCATCCGTCCCTGCCAATAGAAAACCTCAGGTTTCTTACCAAACTTGAGAAAATTAATGAGAATTTCTGATGATTCTCCCCAAATCAATGAAAAATCTGACTAAAACAAGTATGGCAGCAAAATCAATAAATTTGAAAATAAGAAAATAATGTCTGGAGAAATCCATACAAGATAATGAAGTTCTAGAAGAAAGAGTGAGGAGAAAGGTAATTAAAAAGTCAAATGTTTACTGTGGTCTTCGTATATTCGACTTAGATTAGGTGGAAACAGGGGGGAATGGAAACGAATTGAGGGTCCAAATAGGATTTATATTGAATTAAAATATGGATACAAGTTGGGTCTTTGCCATGTTCTTTCATCACAACAGATGAGCACTGAAGATACCTAGACACAGCTCGCCATTAGTTTTCAAGCTACAGCCGACCTCACGTGTTGTTTGTGGAGCACACAATAGTACACGAATCTACTCTAGAGGCACTACTAAAAGAAACTCAAACTTACTGTACACTTTAGACCTCAGAAGTCTCTTCTTTAGAGATTCATCCAAGAGGAACGATAGCTAAGTTTTCTACTGTATGCTTCTATCTGATACATGAAGCAAAATGAATTAGTGTTTATTGAAACAGATAGACATGAAATAGAGAGTATTAGTCTATACTCACTGTGAATTCGGAATTTCGGATATTCCAATTCAGTCCAGTTCCTCTGGTCAAATCTTCTGGCAAAATTTGGTAATCGTCTATTTGTTTAGTTTGATACTTCTGCTGAAACATCAAGATCATCGTTCTTCAGGTTGTAGAGCTTACATTATAACTTACGCACTGCATAGAACAGAACACCAAGCACTTGAGGATTTGAATAACATGAAATTCATTTCATTTTCTGTTCCTTTTCAGGGTGTCCATGTCTTTCCATTGTTTTCTTCTTCATGACAAAATAATCTTTTCAATGTGGTAATTGTAATCAGACCTTTCTAGTTAATTTATTGTAATTCACTCAACATCATACAAGCGCTCCGACATCGTTCAGAATCATTATAACATAAATACTAAATTTGTAGAAAAACATACCTAAAGCTGGAAGCAAGATTGTATTATGTTGATAGCTTTTTGGTGTAAGATTAGAATAATGCTTGACACATCCTGTGAACTTTTTTCAATATTCACTTGTAATCTTTTTGTATGTAGCTACAGCACCTCCTTAGTGCTCTGATTTTAACATCAAAAACACTAGCCACTTCAAAAAAAGAAGTTGGGAACGGAATCTTTTGTTGCTAATATTGTCATTTCAACCCAAAGCAAATTTACTCTGGATTGATCTGTGATATATTGAAATATGGGCTAAAGTATTGTCTTCTTTTGGTAAGATAGGCAAGATAAATGTTCACCGTAAAATGGTGGACAAGCTAACAGACCTTTTGCTACAGCTTTTGACATTTTACCGTCTTTATTATCCAGAAGATACTTCATACGTCACTCTGTCAAAGCTGAAGAATTAAAAATGGAACAAATAAGGAAGTAAAGAAGAAACTCACAAAATGCTTTCTTCTGGCAATTTCAACCAATGGAATGAGATCTATTTTGCGAATTAAGATTCCTACTGTCCTTCAGCGAAGTGACGAAGTTGGATAAAACAAGTGAGTCATTACGCGCATCCCTCTCATTAAGCCATTGCTCCTCAATATGGATACCGACATCCCTTTTAGTGTCATTCCATTTACAATAGTTATAATTAGGAAGGAAAGGGCATGGGTACTGAATAACTCTCTTGCTGTTACAGAAAAGAAAGAAAAATGAAAATGTTACCTCTTCAGAGAGAGAACTTCATAATTTCTGCGCAGATAATCAGCATACTTGATAAGGGCATCTTGTGCATACTGCCTCCCCACTGATCTTACTGAAGCAGCATTAAGTAAATTCTCCAGTGTGCCATGCTTTTTCAAAAGCTTCAAAGCAGTCTTTCGACCAAAACCAGGAACAACATGCTGGATTCCAGGAACACCATCAACCTCATCACCCAGCATGCACCCTTATCCAGAAAACTACAAAATTTAGCAGCCAACATAATAACAGCAGACACTCGAACAAAACTGATGATTAGATGATTCTAACAGCATCGACACTCAAGCATCCAAAATCCACACATCCCCTACGGTAGCTAGCCCATATTGGCTAGAGCCCAGAAGTGCAGACATGGAAAAATGCTAAAGCCTTGTAAGAAGAACAGGATAGCATGAAACACACGAAGCTATATGGCAACAAAAGAGGCTTTTGTTCTTCCTTTTACCAAGTCCCGCCTGCACTTTATGAGCCATTATGTGGTAAATTTAAAAGGTATTCTGAGGAGAGACTACTGATCAAGAGGAGATTTACCGAAGGTGACATAAGGAAAAGACGGACATAGAAATTATGTATACAAGGTACTTCATTTTTTTCAAACGTTAGCTTTTGTTTTGATTACAGAAATCATTGTATTTGTCCTGAATTTCTCTGTCAATTTTGGTCAAAGTACCAAAAACTGGTTGAACACATCCGGTACGATAAAAGAGAAGAATAAAGAATTATAGATGTATTGAACCTATGTTCATATCAATGGAAGATCTTCTCAAAAATATTTGGTATGAAAAAATATTTAGTAGATGTAGTAAAAATTAGAAGAAAAAGATATCTTACCCAAGATTAAATCCCACACTGACCTTCAATTTTACCCCTCTTCCTGGAAAGAACCACTCCCTACTTTCGCCTCTCTTAATTTTCATATCCCAATCAGCTAAATGTCGGTCACAAACTAGCAGGGGTTGGTTATATGAATCCTCTATATTTGGTCTGCTCTATTCAGGACCACTTCATTTCACTAATCCATAATTTTCCTTTTAATATAAACGGGGATCTCTTAAACTACAGTTCTCATCTCACCCAAATCCTGCCTAACAAGGAAGTAGAACAATGACTTTTTTTTATGAAGAAGTAGAATAATGACTTTTAATTTGCAGCTATGATTAAGATATGATTAACTTCAACAAGTACATGAACTAGTAACTTAAGTTAAGATAAAACTACACCTAAAAGGAGTGTGACATACTTACTCAGGCTCAAATCAGACCTTGGATCACAATTGTACTGTGCCACATAGTGCTTTAGGGTGTAAAAGGACCATCTATTGAACTCTGGTACTGGCATGACAATTTGAACATCATCAGATATCAGTTGTTTGAAGTCTTTGTCAGGAGAGGCAACGACAACTCGGTGCCCCCTTTGTATAACCTGTTCTACAAGTGTGGCTATAACATCATCTGCTTCATGTGATTCAATCTTAACTACCTGCATACTACACTTAGTCAAAAGCACTTCTCATCATGCTAACAAGATTGTGCAATGCAAAAAAATATATGAGCAACACATAGAAGAAAGCTTCCAAACAAGACTGTGTAGTGCAAAAAATAATATTCTGAGCAAGAATGTCCAGCCCAAAAATATAAACAAGTCTGCAATTATAACGTATGTTGCTCGGACTCTCCAAAACTGATGCCACACCTGTGCCGGATCCTCCAAAATGCACATCCGACATGAACATGGCAACATTTCTAAAGAGTCTGAGCAACATAGATTATAAATACAACAATCATTGTCAAACCTGAGGCAGGAGATGCACAAAGTAGCAGGAAAATACTAAGATCAAAAATATCATAAACTAAAGCTGAAATGACATTAATAGGCCTCAGAAACTGTTCTCTTGAGAGAAAACTAGCTGGTATTGATTGTTCCATTCAGCGTTCATGGATTTAATTATTTGGTCCAAGATTCGTTCTTTCTTCATTCAACTTTTGCTATATATGAATCTCCAGAGTTGTTGCTTGACATATTTCACCATAAGCAACTCACATTTCGGAAGCAAATTTCTTTCTGACGAGAAGGAAAAATTAAATCTATATCATGGTCCATGCTTCTTAGTATCTCCAGTTAGAAATAACATTGTAGTTAATATCAGTAAATTACACTGTCGACGGCTCGACGCACAAAAAAATAGAAGACCTTTCTCAAATCGTTAGTAAAGATAACCGTCAACTTCAGACTACTAAAGTAACCAGATTCCAAGGATGCATCAATAAACCAAAACTACAAGTATTGATGAAGAAATTGTTCACTCACAGGAACGTTGCAGTTCTGAAGAACATCCAAGATGAGCCTATGTGATCTTTCAATCGTACTCCTTGGAGATTTTACTGCACCTTGCAACTGATGCCAGTATTTCCTCCTACTTGCTTTATAGGAAGGTAACAACTGTCTTCTATACTCATTACCTCTTTCTCCATCAATAACCTGTAAAACAATCACCCAGTTCAAACAATATGTAGTTCATGATGCTTTCATATACCATCTACACCTTCCAAGCAAGGTCCTAGCTAGAGTATCCGGTTTTCATTCAGACGAACTCAGTAGCTTTTTCTGGGACTTTGTATTTGTATTGAAAAAAACTACTATTATACATGTACAAATACTTTAAGTACAATAAGGTGAATCAACAAGTAAGATTATATTTATAGAGTATACCACCCCTAACACTTCAATTCTTTTCTTTCTCATTTCTTAGCTCAACAAACAGAGTAATACACGGAGAGGAAGCTTACAGCAATAACAGGATCAGTGAGGCTAACTTGAGAGAAGAAAAGGGAAATCCAATGAGCAAAAGATTGCAAAGAAGGAATGCTTCCTTTGTAACAAATAGGATTAACATCCAAGAAAAAAACCCTCTTTTTTCTTGAATTCTTGTAATGGGTATCTCTACTTTTCCCAAAAGGTTCATTCCCTTGTTGCAAAATTGGGTCTTGCACAACAGGATGACTATGAGAAGAAGATGAAGAACAAAAAAGAGGGCTTAGTTTTAGCAAATTTCTTTGCTGTTTCAATGGGGAAACAAGAACTGGGTGGTGGGTAGAGTTTGGAATTGGGTGAAAATGGCGAGGTGTGATAGTAAATGGTGGAAATTGCTGAATCTCCATGGTTGCTAATTGCTAAACCTCTAATGGAGTTCTTCTACCTATCTCATCTAGTCTTTAAGGTTCTAATGGAAACTTTAGGGATTGAAAATAGTGAAAATTATAGTTGATGTCTATAACCATAATAATCGTTACTTTAGGGACCAAAGATGTAATTAGGATAATAAAGTAAAATGGGAGAAAATGGAGTATTACATATATATATTTGGTACGGAGGAAAGTAATATTTTTTAATTTTCTCATATTTGATTGTTAAATCTTTGAAAAATAACTTTTTCAAAAATGACGAAAATGAAACGGAATGTAGGGGTGTTCACGGGTCGATTTGAATCGGTTATTGGTCAAAATCAAATCAATTTAATCGGTTTTAAAACTATCAAAACCAAACCAAACCAAATATAATATACATTTTATCGGTTTGGTGGTTATCAGTTTCGGTTTGGTTTGGTTCGGTTATTAACCATATACAAAAATAAAATAAACAATTCATTCAAAATGTGAAAAAGTGATAACAATCCATTCAAAACGAAAAATAGTTAAAATGACTTAAATTACTGAACTTTCGATCACTAAATTTAACTATCAATAAAAGCTTTAAAAATTCACTATATTGGTCTAGAATGAAGAGACAATAACATTTTCAGTCCCACAAAGAATTGTCATATAGACACTCATATACATAAAAATCAATAAGATAAATGTTTTCATCTTGGGCATTTTTTGCTTTCAATAAGTAAATTATAATGAAATTTTAATGAAAATATATATAAGATCTTTAAAAATTGTTTATAAGAATAATATATTAAGTATGTATATTAATAAAATATATGTATATTATTCATCGGTTCGATTCGGTTATTTCTTCGATTTTTCAAATAAAATCATAACCAAACCAAATACTATCGGTTTTCAAAAATCTAAAACCAAACTCAAATAAAATCGATTTGGTTCAATTTTTTTATTTGAATCGATTTTTATCCAAATCGTGAACACTCCTAACGAAATGTATGCACGGTTGAAATGTGGGAATGGGGTAGGGAGGAGCATGGTCCAAAGAATGAATCGTTCATAATGGACAAACAAGTTTCGTAAATCACATTTTAAAATTAGCGTCTCCTTCCTATTAATATGGGATCTTTTTCCTTCTGAAAATAAGTCCATCAATTTATGATAACAACTCACACTGTTCCTTTTTACGTATTTCGTGTAACTGATTTGAAAATTTGTTTTTTTTTAAAAAAAAAAAATTATTCTAATTTGTCCAAATGGACAAAGAAATTTATTTTCAGTACTAGAGGGTGTATTATATTTTGAGAAACATTCAAAATTAAAATACTAATAATTTTAACTAGGCATAAGCTAAATAAGTCATATCCATCCATAAGTAAAGTAATGACAATTAGCTCAACTTTTTGGCAATTCACAAACTCCATGTGGTTTTGCGAATTCAAATTTCGTTTGTCTTAATTTATGTTATACACTTTCTTACTAATTAATTTATTTTGAGAAAAAAAGAAAAGGGTTCATATCTCTGTTTAATCTGAATCATCATATCGATAACAATAACAAACAATAATAATGGTGATGAAAACCGTTACAATAACAATAACGATAACAATCCAATTAATCAAGACGGCGTAGAAGGTATTCAACTTCAACAAGTTTAGTCAAAGGCATTACCCATTCATCATATAAACGTGAAACTAACAATGGATCAATTTTGCCCTTCACTTCTTCAACACTATCATTTAAGGTCACTTCTTGACCAAACACTTTAGCTTTCTTCGCGACTCTCTTCTTTACCATCTCTTCAACCGCTTCAAATGTTAATAACTTCATTAAAGCATCTCTATCCTGTAACAACAACGATGCATCAAAGATAATTAATATTACTGCGCGAACTGCGAATGAGTACACTTAATCGTAAGTAATGAGATACCTGAGCAAGAATAAATGGTTTATATTCATCAGTGCTATCCCTGAATTTAACTTCCGCAACAAATTTTCCATAGTGAATTCTTCTAGATAGTGCCTTCAACAACAAAAGAAAAATCAATAAAAAAATCACATCAGCTTATAAATATTGATTGAAGAAAAAAATTCAATGTTTATCCAACTTCAAATTTTATTTTATTTTTATTTTCACTTTCCCTAGTTCACTGGACTTCAACTAGTAAAGTCAAATTATTTATTTTTGGAAATAATTGTAAAAAAAATATTAAAAGGTGTAACATGAAGTGTCAGGTCATGTTATTTTTAATGTCGAATAGGCTTTAATTAGAAATGATAAAAACTAGGGAAAATGGTTTGAAAAATACTTTAATTTTGGCCGAAATTATTGTTACAATATCAAACTTTATGGAGGATTTTTTACCCCTGCACTATTTAATAGTGTATTTTAAAGGTGTATATGTGTCCACGTGAACACATTACTATTTATAATGATTCTATATTTATGATGTCTATGTTGGCACATATATACCTTTAAAATACACTATTAAATAGTGCAGGGGTAAAAGGTCATTTTCAAAGTTCAGTATTGTTACAACAATTTCGGTTAAAGTTCGAATATATTTCAGACTTTTTTTCCTAAAAATAATGAGTTGATCATTCTAACATGTGTTGAATTCACTTTTTTTTTTTTTGTTTTAGAATAAGCTGCAAGTTGCTAAAAAAAAATCAGAGATTAAAAAAGATATAGCTTAATTGGAGAATGCAGAGAACTTTATTCTTTATGTTTGCCTAGCTGGATCAAATTTTATATTTGTGTTAAGTGAGGGTTTTTTATATTTTTTATTTTGAAATTGAGATTTTAAGACACAAATTCAAATTAGTTCAGCTTTAAAATAAATAGTAAATATCGAATGAAAAATCATAAAATAAAAAGAAAATATTCATATTTTGTATTTACAATAAACTAATGAGTGAATGTGAGGTACGTGATCTCTCGTACGATTGAGTAATATGTATATTCACTTTTATAAAATTAAATTACTTGATATGATAAAAATATCAGATGCGAATAAGTATTTACCTGCAATAATTGAATGTCACAAGCAGCAGTAGTTGCAAAATTTGCATCATCATCAGCCTCAGTACAAAATAGTGGAAGCATTTGATTTATATAAATATCCAATATCTTCTCATTTACATTTACTGATTCTGCTGCAGGATGCAAAACCTATATAGTATAGATCAAATTAATTAGTGACAATTATTATAATTTTTTAATCCTAGTTAAAAACACAACATAATAATTATTTTTAAAAAAATAATATTATTTAATCTAATAAATAGATACTTACTGGTGTGCATTTGGTAAGTGGTATGATTGAGTCAGACAAATTATCTGGGAAGAAAGGATTTTCCTCTGGGGATAAGTATCTACCAACCTGTTATATAATAAAATCAATTAAATTAAAGGAATTTAATTTTTCTTTGGGATAAAGCACTCCATATCCTTGACTCAAAATCCAAAAAATTTAATTAAATAGGAATGCATATTTATTATTTTATCATAATCTTTGATGATAAATATTTTCTTTTCAAACTTAATAAAGAAAACGTGCAACAAATGGGATCATAGTTTAGTCGATTTCTAAAATAATCGCTCAATCAATAGTTATTATCTGAGATAGACGCTTTCTTTCTTTTCTTTTTCAAAGAAATAGAGCAAAAAAGAAAATTGACTTTTTGAGATAATAACTAGTAATTGAGTAAATATCTAAAAATCAATTTGATATTTGATAATTTCCTAATTTAAGAGATCATTTTAGAAAATTGTGAGGAAAGTACCATTATCCTGATATTAAGTAAATGAAGAAATTCAAAAAAAAAAAACAGTCAATGAATGAATATGTAATTTAGATGCACGTCATAATTTAATTTAAGTTTCAGATTTAAGGGAGGAAGAACAAATATAGAATGAAAAAATAGAAAATAAATAAATAAATCATGGTCAACACAAAATTAAAATAGCAAGCAAGTAAACAAAGGAATCTAATAAGTTCCGAAAAATAAGGAAAACCTACCAAAAGAGTACAAAGATAAAGACAAACACCATTAACATTTCCAAGAACTCCAACAACAAAGTCGAGTCCGACCGAATCTAATAATTTTTATTTAAATTATATATTTATGTTGAGAAAATTCATTAAATCTATATACGTATCAATTTAAAACCTAATTATTAACACTTAAATATATCATTTTAAAAATTTTAAATTCATAAAGTTAAAATTCTGATTACGCTTTTGCAAAATAAACTATCATTCAACATTTGATCAAAAACAGAGGCGAAATACATCGACAATCCATTAAAATCATATGTACAAACACAAGAAGAGAAATTGTTACCTTAGATTGAAGAGCTTCTGTTTCTTGAAACAAGTATTGAAACAAGGATCCTGAAATATTTGAAGGAGGTAATTGTTGTTTGTATAAAGTTGGATTTATTGGGAATTTGATTCTTTCAATAAGGTTGAAAATGATGGTATCTTCTTGTCTAATTAAACTATCTCTTATTGAATCAAGACTCAATTTACCATCATCACCACAAGCCATTTTTTTTTCTTTTTTTGATTGATAAAATTCTGAAAAATATTTTATGTGGGTAGAGGAAGAAAAAAAAATGAGTAGACAGAATTAATGTTATCTGTTTTTGGTTGATTGGTTGGTTTAAGTTTGAACTATATATTGAAGAGGTTTTTATGTTTTTAGTCCCTATATTTTAGGTTCATTAAAGGTTATGGTCCTACTATTATACGTTTACGTAAAAAAGGTTATGATAGTTGTTTAGATTGGTCTCGATTCCTCAAGTTGAGCTGTAATAGTAGTTGAAGAATCTCTTGTTCCGAGTGGGTTTAAAGCCATGACTTTACTAAAGAATTCTTGTCATCTCGAAGAAAATCTAATGTGAAGCTCGAGCTAGCGAACATGAATAAGGGATGTCTTCCTTTTTTTTCTTGATTTAGGTGACATAGTCTTATCCTTTGAATGATAATGATGCATGATATGTGTTTGCACTTAAAATTCTTTCATTTTATTATATGTAAATTATAATTATACAAATTGACAACTTTACATTTTGTTACTTACTTTTGATTTCCTTAA